AACTGGCCGGACACCGGGCGCGGTCACCGGGCGGGCGCGGCTGCGAGGGAGGGGACACAGGAGGCTCCAGCCAGGGCTTCTGGGGTCCGCAGGTGGAGCGTGCTCGCGGAGCGGATCCTCCTCAGCCACCGACGTGTGCAACTCTGAGCAAGCGCCGCTGCCGCTGCACGCGAGCAGCAGCAGAGAGTCCCGGCGCCGTGCAGCGGCGGAGCGTGCGGCAGCGGCGCGGAGGTGTGCGTGTGCCGAGGGCGGCGCATCAGGGCGGGTCCGATGGCGATCGCGGGCACGCTGGGCCGCACACGCGCACCACTCCATCGCTTGAGAGGTTGAGCTCGTCACCGAGCCGGAGCTTCCCGACGGCGAGAAGCGGCTCGCCGCCGTCGAGCAGAGCGTCTTGGCGCCCGCCGGGCTGGTCGCGCAGTACGCGATCTTCATGTCCGCGTAGTCCTTGGCGAACGGGTTGACCGAGCCGGGCCCGCCGCCAGCGCTCATGGTCTTGGCCTGTGTGTATAGGCTCTTGACCTCGGTCGCGAGCGCCTTTCGCTGCTCGGGGTCGGTCGTCGCAGTCATCTTGGCAATCAGGGCGTGGTGCTTGCACAGCGGCTTCTCGCTCCGCTCGGCCGTGCACCAGTAGGAGTACATCTCTTTGGTGGATGAGACGGCAGTGGCGGCGCTGGTCGGAGCCGTCATCTGCGGCAGAGGAGGAGGCGCTCACATGGGCGACGGAGGGAGAGGCGGGACGGCAGCACCCAGGCGCGCACGCAGGGCAGCACCCAGGCGCCGTTCTCGCACCTGCGCGAGCACCATCGGGATCGCCAGGAGGGATGAGCTGCCCATCCTAGCACGGGCGCCACACTTGAAGTTTGCAAAACGCCGCCACGTCAGAGCCGAGGTTTCTTTTGTCGATTTACCTCGGAACCCGGCGAGCAATGGGAACTCGCCGGGGCAGTAGGAGAAGGGGCAACTCCGTGCACTGACGGTCGGCCGTCAGAAAACACGCCTGCCTGCGTGGATCGGGGCCCGCCCGCCGATGAGCCCGGGTACGAGATCGTGCTCGCCACGCCACCTCGGCCAAGCCCGAGTATTTTTTTTGATTTCGGTCGGTGACGGTCCAGTCCGAGCCTGGCTGTTCTTCACTAACCTTCGATACTACTACTACTGACGGGGCTGAGGGCCCCTCACCCCTCGTCACAACCCGACACGGAAGAGCGGCAAGAGTTGGGGCTGCGGCTACGGCTGCGGCTACGAGAGGGGCCGGGGTCGCGGGTCCTACGGCTTTAGCTAGTGTTGTGCGAGGAGAGAGAGTTTGGTTGGAAAATTCTTCTGAGAGAGAGAGATTTTTAGGAAGAGATTGAGAGGGTACAGGTGGGTTTTAAGACCCCGTTAGCGGGAGATCGGCGGGAACAAAACGGACATGGGTAAAAGGGAAAGCCCCGCCCGTGCGATCTTTGTGCAGGGTTCTTTGTGGGTGTGGTCGGCGCCTAGCCGGGGTCGACAGTCGTCCTCACGATGGGGGGCGCTACGCGGCTACGCACTAGCCGTCTTCCACATGGTCCCTCGGGTCGCTGCTACGACGACGGCGATGTGACGCGGCGTGAGGTCTTGCGCGGCGGAACGGTGAGCATGCTTGAGAGAGAGTGCAACAAACGAGTGGTGATGAGCGCCTTGTTGTTCAGAAAATTGTAACTTTTTTCGTTCGCTCGCGAATATATCTCCACTCCCTGTGTTGCCCCGCTCCTCCCCCCCCTCCGTGTATGGGCGAACGCCGAGCCGCCGCATCAGCTTGAGCTGCCACGGCCGACCGATTGGCCTCGGCGGTCGCCGCCTCCACCCCCTCCCCTAGCCTCCGCCACAGCCTCGGCGGTCGCCGCCTCGGCGACAGCCTCAGCCAACACCAGCCACGTCCTCCGCCGCCTCCGCCGCCACCGCTGCCGCACCGGGCTCGGCCCCGCCGTGACGCCGAACCGAATCCTCTCCTCGTTGAGAGCGCCGCGAGAAGCCTGAGCATCCCCTCCTTGTCCATCTGCGCGGCTTCTCACTGCCCCGGCGCCCACATCTCGACCTTCTTGGGCAGCAGCTGGTTCGACAGGTCCTCTCCGTGGCCTAGGCAGCCGCTCTCGCCCTCGCCCCAGGTGAAGACGGCGCCGTCGGCGGTGCGGGCGAGGCTGTGGTGGCCTCCAGCCGACATAGCGACGACGCGCTGGTCAGCCAACGCCTCGACCTTCTTGGGCAGCAGTTGGTTCTGCCAGTCGCCGTGGCCCAGCTGGCCGTAGCCTCCCCAGCCCCAGCTCCAAGCGGCGCCGTCGGCGGTGATGGCGAGGCTGTGCGCCCCTCCAGCCGACACGGCGACGACGCGCTGGCCAGCGAAGGCCTCGATCTTCTTGGGCAGCAGCTGCCACAGCTGGTCGCCGTGGCCCAGCCGGCCATGGCCTCCATAGCCCCAGCTCCAGACGGCGCCGTCGGCAGTGATGGTGAGGCTGTGGCGGGCTCCAGCCGACACGGCGATGACACGCTGGCCAGCGAAGGCCTCGACCTTCTTGGGCAGCAGCTGGTTCTGCTCGTCCCAGCTTGCCCTCGTCTCCCCCGCCCCAGCTCCAGACAGCGCCGTCGGCGGTGATGGCGAGACTATGGCGGGTTCCTGCCGACACAGCGACGACGAGCTGGCCAGCAAAGGCCTCGACCTTCTTCGGCAGCAGCTGGCTCTGCGCGTAGCCGTGGCCCAACTGGCCAAAGGAGACACTGCCCCAGCTCCAGACACTGCTGTCGGCGGTGAGGGCGAGGCTGTGGTAAGCTCCAGCCGACACAGCGAGGACGCGCTGGCCAGCGAAGGCCTCGATCTTCTTCGGCAGCAGCTGGCTCTGCTCGTCGCCGTGGCCCAGCCTGCCCCCACCTCCATAGCCCCAGCTCCAGACACTGCCGTCAGCGGCGAGGGCGAGGCTGTGCACATCTCCAGCCGTCACGCTCACGGCGCGCTCGCCGCCCAGCGTCGAAGGGAGGCGGGTCGGCGTGTTCAGCCGCGTCGCACCCTCGCCGTGGCCGAGTAGTCCCGGCGTCCAGTACCCAGCCTTTCCGCACGACGAGAGCCGCCCCTCGCCGTCGATGAAGGCGCTGTGCTGCATGCCTGCCGCCGCCCTCGCCGGCGGGTTGGACTCGCGCAGCAACGCCATAAAGCACAGCCACCGCACGTCGCAGCTCTCGCCCTCTGGCTGCGCCGGCAGCTCGAAGCCGCGCTCTCGCGCCCACAAGCGGATGCCCTCCAGCGCAAGCGAGGCGTGGAAGAGCAGCGAGACGGCCGCGACGCGAGCGATGTCGACGGGGTCGCAGCGGGAGATGACGCGCGCGAGGAGCTCAAGGGGCAGATCGAGGAGGCGCAGGCGGGCGGGCGGCGGCGTGTCTGGCGAGAGAGCGGCGGCGGTGGAGGCGAGGCGGCTCGAGCGGCGGCGCGGCGGGGTGGACATCGCGAGAAAAAGAATTTACACGCATGTCACAACACGCGGGACTGGCGCACTGAGAAAAAAAATTCCAAATGCCGCGGAGAGCTTGCCCTGTCTATACTGCCCCGGCGCCCACACCTCGATCTTCTGGGTAAGGGGGGGCGCGGCGGCGGCGGTGGAGCTGCGAACGCGGAGCTTCCGCCGGAGCCCGGAGGACGACGCGGTCGAGATGGCGAGCGCCGCCCAGCTGCTGGACAGCGTGGCGGAGGCGGGCCCGAACTACACCCTGCTGCGCAGCAAGGAGACGAAGGCGATGCGGCGGAAGCGAAAGCGTGAGGATGCCAGGGTACATGCAATAAGGCCTTTTAGAGCGCCTTCGTCGTTAATAATACAAACGCCAAACGGAGTGGGGTCCCTTGTCGCAGTCAAACACACAAAGGTTAAGAATTTTGGGGGGCGCGCCGCCAGGCGCGTCCCCACTTTTGGTATCGCGCCTAAGCGTGAGAAATATATACCTTCTCGCAGGACGCAGCTAGCTGCTCTGGGCCGGCGCGGGGGCCCCAGAGGGTGTCCATGCGGGGGGGAGATGGGGTCCCATGGCCCGCCGCAGGCGCCGATTTTTTTGGATTGTTTTTCTTTTTTGGAGTTTTTTACTTGTTTTCATGGGAATTCGGCGTACTTGCGGCCATGCTATCACGCCTTGCGACAGCCTGTCGGCGCAGCTGACCGTGCCATGATGCACAATTGATCACCTGCATAGCTCGCGGCCTTAGTATCAAGCATTCAGTGACGACCTGATCGTACGGCCAGTAGGAAGGTGTCCTTCCATCGTGTGCACGCTTCTGGCGCAATGCGCGTCACCTCGGATTGGCTGCTGTCACTCTCGAGGCTATGCCTACACAGCCTCGCGCGCATGGGCAGTCAAGAGGGACCACGCACCTTCTCAGGACAGCGCCGGTGCCTCTCTCTTGGACCGGCAAACGTGGTGGTATCGTGTCACCAATGTGGGACCAGTGCGGCATCGCGCCATCGACAGCTCTGAACTGCGCCTCACCACTGACCGGGAAGGCCGCCAAGTGGGCCAGCACAGGTCGCACATTGTGGCAGCAGTCAGCAGTGCATGGCTGATAGCTAGAGCAGCAGCGTCAGGGTCGCAGGGTCGGATCGTGTCAAGCCTCTCGCCCGGCCGGCCGCGTGCAGACGTCGGCCTGTCTGCTGTCTGGAGTGATCTGTCGGCGGTCAGTACGACCGATCAGGTCGGAGATTTCTGATGGTTGGAGGGTCTATCTGTATGTACTCCTCGAGATCTTTCCAAATCTGCCCTCTACTTAACCGTACTTAATCGGGAAGTTGGTGCTAGTGGAGACTAGTGGAGCCGGGGCCCCGTTTCCGCACTGCGGCGCGGCGCACGGTGCCTCCGGGGGGCCCCGCGCCGGCCCAGAGGCTAGCTGCGAGACGAGCTTTCTCGGAGCGACAGCCTCAAAGTAAAAAGGGCGGATGGGTGTTCTCTTACGTACATTTCTCAAAAAAGTCTGCCTTGGCCAGAGTGAGTCCCTCCCTCTCCGCTTGCCGGACTGCCTTGGCACCAGCGGCAGAGGAAGGCTCGGGTGGCGGCGGCAGCGGCGGCAGCGCGGTCAGATCGCGGGTGTCCCTGCCCGCCTCCCAGCGGGCGTAGAAGAGCGCCGCCTGCTCGGCGGTGGCGAAGTAGCCGAGGGTGACCTTTTTGGTTCCAACCCTCACCGTCAGCTCGTACTTCTTGGTGCGTTGCTTCTTCGGCTTGAAGGTCACGCCTTTGTAGCCGCTGCTGCTGCTGCTGGCGACCAGAGTCAGGCCCTCCCTCTCCGCCTGCCGTATCGCCTCAGCGCCAGCGGCAGTCGGAGCCGGGCGAGGCTGCAGCAGCTTGGCGGCGTCGGCGCGGCCGTACTCTGAGCGAGCGTAGGCGATGGCCGCCTCTTCGGCGGTTTCGAAGAGGCCGAGGTGGACACGCTTGCCGCCAGCATTCACCTTCGCCTCGAACTTCTTTTTGCTGCGGTTGTAGGTCACGTTCTTGTAGCCAGTCGTGCTGTTCTTGTAGGTGGCTGGGATCAGCACGAAGCGCTCGGAAGCCTGTGGCCCGCGACGAGTTCGCGCGAGCGGCGCCATTCACGGCTAACCTCGGAATGTAACACCTCTCGAGGTTGGAATCGCGCCGAAAACCCCGCGCATACCATTCCGCCCCAGCAGAGGCTGCAGCCTCTGCACAAGCAACACCAGTGTAAGAATGGTGAGTACTTGGGGTTGAGTGGGCTTGCTTGCTCTCTTAGCCAGAGGGCAAGGGCAATGCTGCCGATCCGCGCCGTCCCCATTGCCGCCACCGTCTCCCACGCGTTCAGCGCTGGATCGTACCGCTTGACTGAGCTGAGGGCCGTCATCGGATTCGCCGCCAACAGCATACAATTTGCCGTCAAGCACCGACGGCGAACTCGTCTCGAGCCGACGCCATCGGCGCCACTGTCTCCCACACGTTCGTCGTCGGGTCGTACCGCTCCACCGAGGTGAGCCAGCCGTCGTCGTACCCGCCCACCGCATACAGCTTGCCGCCGAGCACTGTCACGCCGGGATTCTGACGCGCTGTCCCCATCGGCGCGACCGCCTCCCACGCATTCTCCGCTTGGCTGGTCGCCAGCCGCGGCTGGACGCCGCTCGCGCACCTGGCTAAACCGTACGGATAAACGGAACACGGCGGAACTACCGTACGGCTTTATCCTGGAGATGCTTAGATGCGCGGGAAGAGAACAGGATTCGGGCTCCTTGCCGAATAGGGGTCTGTTCGCAGGTGGGTTTTACTCCGGAAACACTACTGTTGTACCCTAATGTACAGTTGTCGTACTGCCTGTCGGTTCAACGTTCATGTGAGTGTGTCGCCAGTCGCTCCTGACCACACGCGTTGAGGGCAGCTCGATTTGCGGCTCGAGCCAACCGAGGGTGCATCCTGCTAATATGGACAGCCGGGGCACGTGGCAGTGCCCCCCCCCCCCCTCCCCTTGCCACACGTCACCCCCCCCCCCCCCTCTCCACCGGCGACGCTCTTGCCTCCACACGGCCTTCAGTCGACCATCAGGCCGAGGTCGTAGAGCACGCGCGTGTCGACGTCGGTCTTGTACGTCGCGGCGGCGGCGGCCGCCGTCGCCTCCTTCTTGTCGAGCTTGGCCACCTGTTCACAGCTGGAAGTGTGGAGAGACGCTGTTCACAGACGGCAGCCCGATCTCGAGCTTGGCCACCTGCTTCTCGACTTGCGCGAGCGAGGCACCGCGCCACTTTGGGTCGCGCTGCAGCACCGCGTGCACCATCTTGGGGCTCGCCTACAGGAAGGCTCCAGGAACGGTCTAGGAAAGGTCCGAGAAGCAGCACCGCGTGCACCATCTTGGGGCTCGCCTGCGGCGCCTACGAAGTGGCAGGTGGCAGGCGTCGGGTAACCCTCTCCAGCACACACGCGGCGCACAAGGTGGGAGCGGGGGACACACACAACAACCCTCCTCGCATCTCGCACGTCCAGAGACGGGAGGCCCATATCTCCGCCATATCTCCCCCATATCTCCCCCACATCTCCCCCATATCTCGCACGTCCAGAGACGGGAGGCCCACGAGATCGCACGAGATTGCACGAGATCGCACGAGATTGCACGAGACTGCACGAGACGGGAGGCCCACGGCGTTGAATAAGCGGGCCAAGGCCCAATGCGCGCGGGCGGCCCCGGGCGAGCGGGGTGTGCGTGTGTGCGTGGCCCAGCGGCGCCTCCTTGCGCACTCGTGCGACGGCGGCGCGGAAGCTCGAGTTGCCCCCGTCCACACCGCCGGCAGAGTCCGGCGCGACCTAAGGTAACAAAGGGAAGGCAGGGTAAACGTCTCCACACACACAAGGGTGGGGCCCAAAGCCGGGCAAACGACCCTCGCGACTCCACGTCTATAGGCGACTGAGGCGGCGGCTACCGCCGCCGCCGCCGCCTCGACAGCGCGGGAGAGGCTCATCTCTGAGGCGCCTGGGCCGGCCTCCCCCCCCTGACGAGACAGGAGCCCCGCGGCATTCAAAGTGCAAGGCCGAATGCGCGTGGGTGAGCGGTGTGTGTGTGTGTGTGTGTGTGTGTGTGTGTGTGTGTGTGTGTGTGTGTGTACCTACTATAACGTCATAAGT